GTCTCACTTTGTCATCCTCAGTAGAGTGCAGTGGTATCACAGCTCACAGCAACCTCAAACTCTTGGGCTCAATCAGTTCTCTTACCTCAGCCTTCCAAGTAGTTGGGACTACAAGTGCCCACCACAATGCCTGGCTGTTTTTTGAGATGAGGTTTTACTCTGGCTCAGGCTGGTCTTGAACCCGTGAGCTCAAGCAGTCTACCTGCATCAGCCTCCCAAGTGCTGGAATTATAGGTGTGAGCCACCTCACCCAACCTATACAGTTTTTACTTTCCAAATGTTCTTCAGTGAACCTGTACTATTTTTATAATCAGTAATAAACTGCCTCTCCCCCAAATTAAAACAAACTAAACAAGAACAAAAAACACAAACTACTGTTAGTTACAGAAAAGTGAAGAGCATGGAAGACTTGGATTCTGATTCCGCTTCTGTAATTAACCATCTGTGTGATTTTGGGTTAGTCATTTGACCTCTCCGGGTTTCTGTTTTTTCATCTATGAAATGAGAAATTAAATTATTCAGGTTCTGGGCAGCACCTGTGGCTCAGTGGGTAGGGCGCCGGCCCTATATACTGAGAGTGGCAGGTTCAAACCCGCCCCAGCCAAACTGCAACAAAAAAATAGCCAGGTGTTGTGGTGGGCACCTGTTGTCCCAGCTACTTGGGAGGCTGAGGCAGGAGAATGGGCTAAGCCCAGGAATTGGAGGTTGCTGTGAGCTGTGACACCATGGCACTCTACTGAGGGCGATAAAGTGAGACTCTGTCTCTGTTTAAAAAAAACATTAGGTTCTTTAGGTCTTTTTGGTCATATAGTAATACAGTTCCAGGATAGCTTACATAAAAACCTTTTGGGGAAGTTTGTAGAAGGAATGAAGAAGAGAGTGTGAGAACTTCTGAAATCACTGACCAAAGGGTCTCTGTGAAATGCCTGCTAAGTGGCAGGCAGGGCCCTCTGGTTGTAATGCAAGTAGGAGAAAGGGGTTAGGAATAGATGGGGGCGAAAAGAAGGAGTGAAACAAAGAGATGGGAATGGTAATGGAACTAGAATATTTATGTAACACTGCATAATTTACACGATGCTTCCCTGTTTTGTATCTCATTTAATGCCTTGTAATATTTTGAGACACGGGGGCGAGTATAAGGAAGTAGTTGAGATAAATAAGGAAGAGGAAATTATTATACAAAACCTTGAGGGTATTGTAATTAAAGTAGTTGGAATAATCTGAGGAAAGACTATTTGGGCTGAATCTGAGAGGATAATTAAGAAAAAAGGATTGTGTTGAGATGACTAATAAGAGGATGGAATCCTAAAATTAAATGTTGAGTTTTAGAAGTAACAGGAAGGATCCTTTGACATAGTAAATAGAGTGTATGCAGTTTAGTTTATCACTGTGTTTATAGATGTTTTAAAAGGTGAAAGACCAATTTGTGAAATAGAAAGGACTAAAATTACAAATTTGTTAAGACCTTCAAAACAAGTGTGTGTGAGAGAGAGAGAGAGGGGAGGGAAAGAGAAAAGGAGACAGGGGAGAGAGAAGTCAGAAGAGGAGGGGGGCGGAGAAAAAAGAGGAGGTTGGGGAGACAGGAGCTGGAACCTGAATGTGACCGGGCACCTGTTGTCCAGGAGGTGCCTTTAGAGCATTTGCATTCACAGATGTTTGTCAAGGTACATACAACCACACAGACAAAAACTAATTAATCCTTAATGTATTACTGAAAATGAAAATGCCTGTGGACTTTTATGTTTTTTTGATGCCTGAAAAACATCATGGGCAGGCATGGTACTCAGGCCTGTTCTACCGTTATAGTCTCAGGGGAGACTATACTTGGGAGGCTGGGGGAGGTGGAGGCAGGAGGATAGCTCGAGGCCAGGTGTTGAGGGCCAGTCTTGGGTGCGGCTCAAAAACACAAAAAACATGGAAGAGACCATTCACATTTCTCAGTTGTTATTGTTGCCATTATTTTTTTTTGGTGAGTGTAGGAGTATCAGTTCTTCTATGAACCAGAGAGCTATCAGGCTGAAATTATGCAAAAGAAATGGACTCTTCATTTGGATAGAACATTTACTTGTGTAAAAGCAAGGCAGATAAAAAAGCTATTTAAAGAAATGACTGTGGAGTTTGGATGTATTAGTTGCTTCAGGGGTGTTTTTCTTTGCTGTTAAAGTGCTGAAAAGCCATTCAATTTTATGTATTTATTTTCCATTTTATTGTTATTATTTTTGAGACAGAATCGTGCTCTGTTGCCCAAGCTGGAATGCAGTGGTATCGTCATAGCTTACTGCAGCCTCACACTCCTGCGTTTAAGTGATCCTTCTGGCTTAGCTACCCAAGTAGCTGGGAGTATAGGGCCTTGCCACCGTGCCAGCTAATTTTTCTGTTTTTTTGTAGAGATGGGAGGGTCTTAACTGTATTGCACAGGCTGGTCTGGAACACCTGGCCTTAAGCAGTCCTCTTGCCCCTACCTCCCAAAGTGCTGGGATTATAGGCCTGAACCACTGCCCGTGGCCCAGTCTTTTTTTTTTTGAGACAGAGCCTCAAGCTGTCCCCCTGGGTAGAGTGCCGTGGCATTACAGCTCACAGCAACCTCCAACTCCTGGGCTCAAGCGAGTCTCCTGCCTCCGCCTCCCAAGTAGCTGGGACCACAGGCGCCCGCCACAACGCCCGGCTATTTTTTGGTTGCAGCCATCATTGTTGTTTTGGTGGGTCCGGGCTGGGAATTCGAACCCGCCACCTTAGGTGTACGTGGCTGGCGCCTTAGCCAGTTGAGCTATAGGCGCCAAGCCCCCGTGGCCCAGTCTTATAAGGAGAAGTGTCACACTGTTTCCTGACACAGAGATGCTGTCTACAGTGCAGCCTCTGAAGAAAGACAACCAAGCTGGATGAGTTTGCTGTGGATAGTTGGTTTTGCTGCTTAGGATTCCTGCAAATTTAAAATAAATTATTGGCATACATGTTTTCATTGTGAATTATTGAAATATTAGGCCATCACAGTTGAACTTTGTGGAGAGGTGTTTTTCAGCCTCTCCATATCTTTGACTAGCTTGAGGAGATTGTGAAAGACTTTGAAAATATACTTGGTCTGGATTTGGAATTTGTTATGTCTGACCTTCCTCGTCTTTTGAGAAGGTTCTGATTATTTGTCTTTGGTTTGAATTGTAACACTGTTTCTTGTGGTTCTAAAAATTATCTGTTATAGCCTCATTCTTAAGAAGCTGCTTTCTTGCTTTGGGGTATTTGTGGGTGTTTGACTCAGTGCGGGCTTGAGACAGATGAAACAAAAGAAAGGTACTATAATACAGGCAAGTTCTTTCTGTAAAAGGGAGGTTAGAAGTGCTTGATGCTCTTTTTTAACTTGATGTAATTCTCTGTGTGTGTTTGCGAGGGGAGGGAGAGATCATACCCATGCTGATGTCTCAAACCAGACTTGGATTTCTAGCTGCGCCTGGTGCCGCCTTCCAGAGTCACTTCAGATTTAGACCCCTTCTTTTGGCTTCTCCCCATTTTAGGGAGAGGCCTCGTTATCGGCTTCGTGGCCTGAGCTTCATTCCTTTGGTCTCTGAGTCTTCCTCAGCAGCTTTGTGAGTATGCCTTGTTGTCCTCCTGTCCTGTCGTGAGTTCTAGCAGCTCTTTGCTTGGGTCTGGCCCTGTGTGGAGCCGCCGTTCACGGAGCTGCCTGAGGAGCTGGTAGAGCGCCGCCTCCTGAGTTCGCTGGGCTGTGCCTCTGGGCCCCTCTGGGTCCCTCTGTGCCCGCTAGGCCTGCTTCCTCTTGTGCTTTTGGCTGACATCTTTCGCTCTCTCAAGTTGGCTCACATCACCTCTTCTTCAAAACTAAGTTATCTCTTCTTCCTTCCCACTGAGCCTTAATATATTATAATTAAGTTTATTTATCTTTTATTGCCTATTTAGTTATCTTTTATTACCTATTTTCTTCACAGATCTGTGAACTCACCCTATTTAAAAGTTGGGCCCCACCCGCATTTCTCTCACTTGCTCTGCCTTTTCACTTTCCTGTTGTACAACGTGCTGTAGAGGGTTCCGATTGAGAGTGCCTATTACCCGTCTCCTCACCCCTGCTAGGACATAACTCTACCAGGTCAGAGATCTTTGTCTCTTTGTCACTGCTGCATGCTTAGTACCTACAACAGTGTCTGATCCCAGGGTAGAATGCTGTGGCGTCACAGCTCACAGCAACCTCCAACTCCTGAGCTTAGGCCATTCTCTTGCCTCAGCCTCCTGAGTAGCTGGGACTCCAGGCGCCCGCCACAGTGCCCAGCTATTTTTGTTGCGCTTTGGCTGGGGCCAAGTTGGAACCCGCACCCTCAGCCTATGGGGCTGGCGCCCTACCCACCTAGTCACAGGCGCTGCCCTGGGTATATCTTACTATTTATATAGCAAAAAGAAATGAAATGAAGCAAAAATTCTCTCTAGAAAGTGTAAACATATATGCATTCAGATGTAAGGACCATTGTTTTTTGGTGCCATTTACACCATTAGTCTTAGTGCTATTAACAAAATAAGGCATTCTCTTAGATTGAGCCAGATGAAATTGCCAGTATTTGGCCTTTTGACCTATAAAATTGGCAGTTAGTTTCGTGTGCTTAACTGAATCTTTGTATGTATTGTTTTTCTCTCCTCATCAGTTTCATTTTACTAATTGGGACTTGGCTCATGGCTGGGATGGGGGTTATTTTCAGCCTCTTCCGTTGCCACAGACTATCCTTTAGTTTAAGGTTTGGCAAAAAGAATTTTAACTTTGGGGTCACTACAGCGCTGGGTGTTATGTAGGCTGAATTAAACAGGTAGCCACTCCTCTTATTGTACCAAAAATTTAAGTTCGTTTGTTCAGTGTCTTTGTTCCAAGTGTGGGCAAGTTAGCCAGTCACTCTATAGAGTTAGGTGCTAAGTGATAGAACAGAATGTTGAGGGATGACAGACAGGTGAACTTTCTGAGTAGTATCTGAGAAACTGACTTAATTTGCTAATTTTTATTTTTTAACTACAAAGGTCTGAGGTAGGAGAATAAGGCTGCCCCACTCGCAGCAGTCACGAGGTGATCCTGGAGGGCTGTTCTTGGCGTTTAGCCTTAGTGGAGGAGGAAACGGACCCCCCACAATTCCATGGAAGAGTGGCCTTAGAAGTTGACTTTTACAGAAATTAATCTTTCAAAGAGCTCAGGGCATATGAAGTCTGGAAATAATAGACTAGAGACAGATACTGTTCTCAACGTTTTCTTCAGTCAGAAGGAGATTAGGATCTAGAGGAGTTAAGGGATTTAATCTCCTATCAGGGTAGATCAGCAGTTGGAGTCAGATTCTCCTGGATTTTCAGTGTGTGCATCATGCCCTAGACCAGTCATTCTCAAAGTATGCTTTGGGGAGCTCTGAAGGTCCCTGAGACTATTTTTGGAATGATACTAAGTCATTTTACAAGTATGCCTTTTACTCTCCTCTCCTTAGTGTACTGTGTTGTTTTTTTTTTTCCTTCAATACCAAGAGTTTATTTTTTTAAATTTTGGATTAATGAAAAAGTGCCTGCGATTAGGTTACATTGTGTTTGTTAGGAAGAGTCTGAGTTGTATTTGAGTCCTTGGCTGAGGAGGCGTGCCATGTACTCTTAACACTGTGTTCCTGAGCAGCTAGGACCACAGGCGCCTGCCACAATGCGTGGCTCTGTTTTTGTTGTAGTTTGGCCAGGGCTGGGTTCAAACCCTCCACCCTTGGTATATGGGGCCAGCACCCTACCCACTGAGCCACAGTTGCCACCCTTCTTCTCACTTTTGTTTTGGAAAATACAGCTTTTTAAAATTTATTTTTATTTTAATTTTTTTTTTTTTTTTTTTGAGACAGAGCCTCAAGCTGTCCCCCTGGGTAGAGTGCCATGGCATTACAGCTCACAGCAACCTCCAACTCCTGGGCTCAAGCAAGTCTCCTGCCTCTGCCTCCCAAGTAGCTGGGACCACAGGCGCCCGCCACAAGGCCCGGCTATTTTTTTTTTTTTTTGGTTGCAGCCGTCATTGTTGTTTGGCGGGTCCGGGCTGGGGATTCGAACCCGCCACCTTAGGTGTACATGGCTGGCGCCTTAGCTGGTTGAGCCACAGGCGCCGAGCTGAAAATACAGCTTTTAAAAAAATTGAAACTTTAAAAATTTCTTTGAAATATATATATTTTTAAATTTCAATTATTTATTTTTTGAGACAGAGTCTCACTTTGTCACTCTTAGTAGAGTGCTGTGGTATCACAGCTCACAGCAAGCTCGGGCTTTTGGGCTCAAATGATTATCTTGCCTCAGCCTCCCTAGTAGCTGGGACTGCAGCTACAGTGTCCACCACAGCACTGACGGGGGGCTTGCCATAGCTCAGGTTGGTCTCAAACTCGTGAGCTCAAGCAATCCACCTGCTTTGGCCTCCCCAAGTGCTAGGATTACAGGCGTGAGTCACCACACCTGGCCCTGGTTATTATTATTATTTTTTAAAAGACTTAATTTACTTTATTATTCTTGTATAAAAACCTTATGTTGTAGCCACAGCTGGAGTCTGGGTCTTCTGCACAGTCTCTTATGTGGGTCTTGACAAGATGGTCAGTGGATTCTTGGTAAGGAGACTTGGTGAACACTGTTTTTTTTCCAGAGGTCAGGGGTGAGAGAGCTATAGGTCTTGGAAATGGCATCAAAAGTGGCCTTGGCAAAAGAAGTGCTCACAAGTTGGAAAAAAAATAAAAGTGGCTTTGGCAAAGTTGCCCAGAGAGGCAGTCCAGCCCCCGGCTGAAGTGTAGCAGTGTAGCAGTCGTGGATCTCAGCCATCATTAGCAGCTTCTTAGGCACGGGCACTGAGACAATGCGAGTTCCTCTAGGAGCAGGGATGAGACGTACCAGCACAGAGCCACAGCGACCTGTCACCTTGCAAGGATCAGAGTGAGGCTTGCCGATCTTGTTCCTCCAGTAGCCTCTCCGCACTGGGACAATAGAGAGCTTGGCCAGAATGACGGCCCCTCTGGATGGCAGTGGCCGTTTCCTTAACAGGACACTTAACACCCAGACCAATACTGCTGTTGTAGTCTCCAATGGCAACAAACGCCTTGAACCTGGTCTGCTGGCCAGCGCGGGTCTGCTTTTGCACTGGCATAATCTTCAGAACCTCATCCTTGAGAGATGACCCCAGGAAAAAAATCAATAATCTCAGATTCCTTAATGGGCAGGGAGAAGAGATAGATCTCCACAAGGGATTTGATCTTCATGTCCTTGACCAGGAGGCCCAAAATGGTGATGGGCATCCACTCTTTGTCCTCGGCTTTGCCTCCGTGAGCTCCTGGCCTCAAATGCTGCTGCCAAAGCCTCCACGGAAACCACCACGGCCTCCCATTCCAGGGCCCCAGGGCCTCCAGGCCTCCCACTGCACCAGCGTCATCCACCATTTAATGTTTTCGTCGGAGAAGAAGCCACCAGTTAATTTTTAGGGACAGGACCTTGCTCTGTTACTCAGGCTGAAGTACAGTGGTGTGATCATACATCATTATAACCTCAACTCGTGGGCTCAGGCTGTTCTGCCTCAGCTGCCCAGTGTCTGGGATTATAGGGGTAAGCCATTGTTCCATCTTAGGTAAAATATAGTTAAAAAAAATATTTACAGTGATCACGTTTAAAGGATTTGATATTTAAAATTTCTGTTTTAATTTCTAATGTGATAAATACTAATAGATATAACTCACATTAAAAAAGTTCTTTGAGACTCAGTGCCTGTGGCTCAAGTGGCTAAGGCGCCAGCCACATACACCTAAGGTGGTGGGTTCGAATTCAGCCTCGGCCCGCCAAAACAACGATGGCTGCAACCAAAAAATAGCCAGGCGTTGTGGTGGGCACCTGTGGTCCCAGCTACTTAGGAGGCTGAGGCAGGAGACTCACTTGAGCCCAGGAGATGGAGGTTCTGTGAGCTGTGATGCCACAGCACTCTACCCAGGGGGATAGCTTGAGGCTCTGTCTCAAAAAAAAAAAAAAAAGTTCTTTGAGTTTCTCAAAAATTGTGAATGTGAGACCAAAAGTTTGAAAAATGATACCTTAGCTAGAGTTTCCTGGTCTTCAAGTTATGTATGTTACTTTTATATTTTTCATTTTAACAGAAAATAGTAAGAATTTAACGTATTTTTTTCCTAGTTGGGTATTATTTGTTATAAGTTATGAGAGGGTGAGGAACCTGTGGCCTTCTGATTGCAATATTGTTCTTTTATATGCATCAAAGGAGGCAAGAAAAGCTTTATCTTTCTCTATCGCATCCTCTTTAATAAAAGAATTTGTTCTATAAAATTGGATTCAGTCAGAAGGCCCCACTTAAGGACCTAAAAGGCCACACACAGCTTCCCTACCCTGGCGAGTTTGGATAAAGACACCGAGGCAATAGTTGATCAAGGAGGGTCCCAGGTTCTGCTCCAAGTATGCTGGATTCTAGCAGGTATTCACTTCCCTTGAATTGTTCAGCTTCTTTATTGACCTTAACCTTTCTGGGTTTCAATTTTCTCGTTCTCAAAAGAAGAGGTTGGATTTTAGATTGTCCAGGACCAGAAGTTTTCATTGGACATTTACCAAGTCATTTGATAGTAGTCTCAGTGTTTGGTTCTATATGATAGATCTCTACGTTATAAAACGTTTACTCATGGGTGGGCGCCCACAGCACGGTGGTTATGGTGCCGGCTATATGCACCAAGGCTGGCGGGTTCAAACCCGGCTGGGCTGCTAAACAACAATGACAACTGCAAGAAAAAAATAGCTGGGTGTTGTGGTGGGTACCTGTAGTCCCAGTTACTTGGGAGGCTGAGGTAAGAGAATCACTTAAGCCCAAGAGTTTGAGGCTGCTGTGAGCTGTGATGGTACACCACTCTACCGAGGGCTGTGCATAGTGAGACTCTCTCTCTCCAATAAATGAATAAATAAGTAAATACTCACTTTGCCCTTCTTTGGTGTCCTTAGTATTTTAGCAGATGACCAAGTATTAAATGAAACATGTAGTAAATGAAGCTTAGCTATGTTTCTTTATTTCCTCCTTTGAAGGGAATAAACAGCCTCCAGTGAGTATTTGAAGGATCCCAAAGCTGAATCATTGACTCATTTGCCCATGTTTTATTTAGAAGTAGTAGCAGTGGGAATTCATTGTTTCACTTAAGTGGACTTTTGAGTTTGTAATTCCACTGTATAGTTTTATTAAAGAGCTTTTCCAGTAGGAGCCTGCATGAGAGACCCTTAACCTTAAGACCCTGCCTTAAAGTGAGTATTTGCACTTTTTTGGCAGTTAAGTTTAACAGATACTGTATTTCATTTCTCTTTCCCTCTTTTTTCTTCCCATCTCCATTCTCTGTCCCTGATTTTTTTTTCAAAAATAAATCAGTAAAATGATAGAAAAAGACATTTTATTTATTTTTTTATTCAATCATAGCTGTGTACATTAATGCAATCATGGAGTACAATGTGCTGGGTTTATATATAATTTGAAAGAAAAAGACATTTTAATACAAAGATTAAAACAAAACCTTTGTCCAGGTGTATTTAAGTTGGTCATTCTTTCTAAAACCTTTTTTTTTTT